TCAGGGGGAGGGGAGACAGAGCCGGCATTCATACAGGCAGCACACAGCGCCCTGGCGAGGGAGCGCTCAGGGGAGCGGGTGGGGGTTGCTTGGGGGGAAGGCCCGGTTGAGAGGGAAGGTTCTGTCAAATGTCAGAAATTTGATCATGTTTCTAGCCTGAGAAATAGAAGCTGATGGTGAGGGAGAGATTAAATGCCTGTCAGAGTGGATGATTAATGGTCCTACCCTCGAGTCTCGCACCGACTTGCTGGGAACTTCCTCAAAGGCAGCACGGGGAGAAGGAAAGCCTAGGACCATGTGACAGGTGTCACTCCGAGTTACCAGCTAGAGGGAGAACAGGACCAGAGCTCAGAACAAAGCGAAATGCCACAGGCTCACCAGGGAAGTACCCTGGAGTTTCACCAGCTGTGTGAGGATGGTGTGGAGTCTAGAGAATGAGGAGTGGTCAGCAGCAGGAAGGTGGGTCGACGGGCGATTCAGGAGCAAACTCTGCAGTCACTGTGCACCCTGGAAACCCCCTGGGCCAGGGACCAGTTCTTGAGGTGAAGGAGCCTGACTGCGGAGCGGGCCTGGTGCGGTTCTTTCAGACTAACCTCAGGAAGGAGGTGTGGGCTGGCTCTCTGAGACGTGCATGTAAGGTATACGCATGAGAGACAATTCTGGGAAACTCTGAAACAGAAAGGATGTAAGTTCAAAGAATGATCGGATAATTTTTAAAAAATCTTTTCAGGCCCTGGCCAGTTTGGCTCAGTGGTTAGAGCGTCGGCCTGCAGTCCAGAGAGCAGGTTCGGTTCCCGCTAAGGGCACGTACCACAGTTGCAGCTTGTCCCCGGCCCTGGTTGGGTCGTGCGAGAGGCAGCCACTCGATGTGCCCCTTTCACGTCGATGTTTCTCTCTCTCTCTCTTCCTCCCACTGTATCTGAACAAAGAATGGAAAAATGTCCTCAGGTGAGGATTAAAAAAAAAATCTTTCCAGTACATATGAGGAGAGGTTATTTGAGGAGAGGCGGGGGGCAGGGTGGGGTTCAGGGATGGAGGAGAATGGAAAAGATTTGGAACAATCTCTGAGGAACCAGCAGAGGTGACTAGAGGCTTTGCCAGGCAGGATTGGAAGATCCGCTGTAATTAGATAGTGTACATTTGCATGGAAACCAATTGGCATCATTAAGTAACTTTTACCAGCAATTCTCGGGCCATGAGGAGTGGAAACATGGACAAAGGACTTTGAGGTTTGGCCTGGGTTCTGGTGAATCAAACACAATTCAGGTGCAGGGGCTTCAGGGGTGAGCCGGACCGGGAATTTTCTGCTGCCGATATGATGCAGTTGGAAAGACTAACCTCCACGTTTTGGAGAGGATAAGGAGCCGAATACTGCTTAAAGGAAGTTGATAATCTAGGAAAATAGAGAGTTATTAAGTAACTAGCGGCCACGAGGAAGAAATGAAAGATTATGCAAGTGAGTAAATGGGACAGTTGAAAGGTCAGAGGACTGCGGCCAGAGGAGAGATGTCTGAGTTGAGGATTTCTCAAGCAGAGCAAATGCATTCTGGACACAGATGAGGGCCAGGTTGTGGCCGTACTGCTAAGAAGCTGAAACAGTGGAAGCAAAGCCCGTTGGTGTGGAAGACGAGAAATGGGAAGCCAGAGTGGATACTGAAAGGAAGACAAGCAAGGATGTTGAAGCTACCGAGGAGACAGAATGTGCCCAGAGTGGGTAGAGAAACTGTTGATCGAGAGACAAAAGCTCAAGGAAAACAGGCGACCGCCTTGGTTCTCCTCGAGATGGGGGTAGAAAGCGATATTGCTGAAGGCGCTGCCTTGGAAGAGGAGGGCGGACGCAGTCAGTGGGGCAGACAGTGGTCTGGAAGGAGTCTCAAAACAGGGAGAAAGGCGTTCTGTGCGTTGGGTTGTCGGAGCAGAATGGTCTTCACTCGAGATGACTAGGGAGGATGCACCATACCATGTGAAGTCAGGACCAGTATAAGGGAGCAGTTGGGAATGCAGGGCAGTTAAATCCTGTGGAGATACATGTGATAGGGGTTGGAGTACTAGTGACTGGAGGCCGTGCTGGGCCTGGAGACGGGGAAGTGGGGCTGGACTGGGATGAGCCTGTTGAAGACTGGTTTTGAGTTCAGGGTGTAGGACAGCATTTATTAATGACAAAGATGACAGGTGATAACAATGAAAGGTAGAGGTCATGGTAAAAGATGTAAGCTGGGAGAAAGTAAATGAAAGTTTTGTTATTAACAGTATATGAAATTAAGCAGCCCCAGGCTTCTCATTAAAACGCTGGTGTGTCCAACTGGAATGTCCAATTGGAATGTTAGTGTGACCAATGGGAGCACTGGCGTGGCCAATTGGAATGGCTGTTGGAACTTCAGTGAGACCAATTAGGATATTATCCTCGTCAGCTGGAACACTGGTGTGACCAATGAGAGCCTGGCGGTAAACTAGCTAGAGGGGTTTCGGCAATGATGGAAGTCTATTGGAATCTTGGCTTTCGAGAGAGAGACATTCTGAGGCTTGTTTGAATCCCACCAAGGTAGTAGTTTGAATGCTAGTTAGTAGACAAACTGCATGAATGTCATCTTAAGATCATCAAGCCCTCAACAAGGGGTGTGTTTTAAACTGTCATATCCCTAGGCCTTGGCATCTGGTAGATTTTTTTTAAATGTATTTGTTGAATACATGATTGAAGTCTCACGGGAGAATATTTTCTGTTCACGGCACTCCAAAGTAATGTCACTATCTCATGGGCCTTGGCTTGTAGACTTGCTCCTTCTTACCTTGGCATTGTTGCCTGGGAAGCTCACATACACATTCTAGTCCATCTCTAGCTGTGTGTAAAACATAAACAAATGACTTTAATACACGCAGCTCTGGCTTCAACTTCTTTTCCTACCTGCTTTATTTTTATGTGATTTATTTTTTAACTTGAGTTGTCTATGGTGCAAACTGCCTCAAATAATTTTTGGAATAAGCAGGTTGATTAAAGGATGGAGAGATGAACATAGAATTATGAGGTGATGGAGGCGGAGAGGGAGGTGGGGAAAGGAAGGAGGTAGGAGAGAGTAGGTGGTGTGGAGGAGGATAACATTTTAAGTTACTTGGTCCGGAGACGCCATGTCTTCACCCGGAGAAGAACCCTTTAGGGCCTTCTATGTCCTGCACAATCTAACACCAGGCCTAGTGAATAGTATGTACTCAACAAAATCTTGTCAGTTTAAGTGGTATTTCCTGGGCTCAGTGAATATGTGTTGATTGCCTTTTTTTAAGCATGTATTTTTTATTTCCCTTAAAATTTTTGGACTTCTTTCTCTGTTTGGGAAACAGTGTGGTACATTAAACAGAAATAAGTTTGGAATCAGCAGACCTTGGTTTGGAAACTAACTCTGCTGTTGATTGGCATGTGTCTTTGGCCAAGATAGGTCAATCTCTGTGCCTGTTCCCTCATCTGTAAAGTTGGGATGATAATATTGACTGCCAAATCCCTGTAGGGTGATGGAGAGGATGCATCCAAAGTACCCAATAGTGTCTGGCACAGAGGAGACACTCAGTGAATCCAGGCCCCACCCCCACCCCCACCCCCAGTTACATTGGACACACTGGTCTGGCTGACTTCTCACGACCAAGGAGCCCACAGTCCTGGCGTGGCTTGCTGCTGCCTCTGCCCTGGAAGCCAGCTTTGTCTGGCCTGCCCAGGGAGAGCTGGCCTTCTCGGCCCAGGGCCCGGTGAGCTTCGTTGGCTGATTTGAGTTCTAAATACTCATCCCTTCAGATTAGCAGACAAACGGTTTGTAGCCTGGCTTTCTGAGGTACTGAGGGCCTTTTAGCCTAGGGAATCCTGTATTCAAGTTCAGATCTGAGGACAGTTCAGAATATGTGAACTCACAGCTGGTGGGTCAGAATGGTGTTGAGATCACCCTTCTCATCCTAGGGTTGGGCTGTGCAAGGTGTCACAGAAGGCTCCAACCACAGCTAGGTAGTGTGTCTTTACCGTCTGCTCATGTGGGCTGCTGCGCTCCTACTTGCCATATCGTATTCTCCTTGCTAGGACCTGTGTATTCAGTGTCTACCATATTAGGATTTTGGACCACAAGGAATATTACTTTTTGCCCATAGAGAACTATGTTGCCACTGGACTTTGGGGAATGCTCCTGTTTCTTGAGGTTCTTCATAGTTCCTAGTAGTGCTGAGCAGGTGTTTTGCCTATCACCTTTGTTTTCTGCCTTTTTTATGCTTATTAAGTGTATGTATTAACGGCAAGGTGTCTACGGCTGCTCTGCTGATGGCAGGACCCGCGGTAACCTCCAATTGGGAGTCCTCACAATTGGGACAGAAGTCTTCTCACTTACATCCCATAGTGGCCAAATTGTAAAGTTGGTACTGCCCAGAAGAGAGTGTCTTACATAATCAGATTCTAATTAAATCATCCAATACTCATTGAACATCGACTTCATGCTCTAGCTCTCTTCTCGTGTCTTTGCAGTGAGAACTTACCGTGAGATGTGTTCAAGACCGTGCTGAAGGTTGATTGAGCTCAGGAGGTGATAGCAAAATCTTGATTTTGAAATATATCACCATACGCTTGTTTTGTTTTGGTTTTTTAGTGGAGAAGGACCTGCTGTTTTGCCTTAAAGTAGAGATGAAGAAATTCAGTACTTCGAGTGTATGCCTTCATTTTTTTTCCTACTTGGAAATAATGAATAATGGTTTCTCGGGGCAAATGTGGTGTGTTGTGTGTTTTTTTGTTTTTGTTGTTGTTGTTTAAATATGTAGCTCACCTGTCTGTCATAGCACAGTGGGTAGTGGCAGGGGCTATGTTATCCCCAAATGACTGATCATCATCCCAGGCCCGTCCCTAATAGGCCTGTGGCTTACAGGCAGCAGTCTCAACTCCCCGTTGTCCAACACAACCGAGAGATTGCCTATGTGCTCATGGAGTAGAGTGTCCTTGTCGCCGTGGAGGTTTATGATTTGAGATTTGTGTTTGCTCTTAGGAGCTGCTAAGTCGCACATCTCTTGAGACTCAGAAGCTCGATCTGATGACTGAAGTGTCTGAGCTCAAGCTCAAGCTGGTTGGCATGGAGAAGGAGCAGAGAGAGCAGGAGGAGAAGCAGAGGAAAGCAGAGGTGAGTGTGCCACACAAATTCCAGGGGGACCCCTACTGTCCCACGCTCAGACCAGGGGAAGCCGTCCTAATGTGGACCCAGACCATCTGGTCAGTCCCGAGCATGGCAACCGCTGGGTGCCAGAAACATTTATGCACTAGAGATGCAGTGATTTGTTAATACCAAGGTATCCGGTTTTGCTATGGCTGCAAATTTCAGCAGTGCCCAAACCACCCAATTTTGGTTCTAAGGCTTTGTCCTCCTTTAAGCTGCTGACAGGGACAGAAAGGGGTGCAGTAGTGGGGGAGGATCAGACAAGAGGTGGAGGAACACAGATGCCTCTGTGAAAGCCAAGGTAATAGCACGTGCGGGGATGAAGCTGGCGGCCTGACAGGCCACAGCCACGATATCCAAGGAGTCTGCTGTGCAATTCACTAACCCAGATGGACCCTCAGATCCTGTGCTTCTTCTCTCCTGCTGGGCCATGGGGTGAGCCCAGGCGCTGGCCTTCCCTTGGAAAATGTTTTCCTGTTTTGTTTTGGTTTGGGGTTTTTTCCAGGCTCCATATGCCATTGGCTAGAACATGCTAGACTCCTTTTTTAGATAAACATTTAGAGAATTGTAGGCTCAGAGCTACTTTATTTGGGAGAGAACAGCCTGTTTTAACATCAGATAACCATCTCCATGTGCCCCTACCTACACGTCCTTGTACTCTCACCTGGGAGATGTGTCAGGGGGACAGGCTTTAGGTCTGGAAACACCTTGGCTCAGTTACTGCCCTAACTGCTTAACTGCTTTATGATCAACAAGTACGCTACTTCAGCTCTCTGAACTTCCACTTCTTTATCTATGCAACAGGTAACTATGTGAAATCCACCTAAAATCATGAAAGTTGAGTTCCTATTATAATGGGACATTTTAATCTGGCATTTTGTATGTAGTTGGTTTATCTCCTCCCCCTCCTCCTCCTCCTCCCCCTCCTCCTCCTCCTCCTCCTCCTCCTCTGGATATTTTTCTATTTATCAATAGATTAGAGTCAGAAGGAGGGAGAGAGATAGAGAAACATTCACATAATAGAGACACATTGACTGGTTGCCTCCCGCACTACCCAACCAGGGCCAGGGACAAACCGCAACTGAGGTAGGTACCCTTGACCGGAATTGAACCCATGACTTATTGGTCCATGGGCCGATGCTCTAACCACTGAGCAAAATCAGCCAGGGCTGTAGTTGGTTTACTTTCATCCTCTTCCTCCATTTAGGCATCTCCAAAATCTAAAGATGGATACTGTTTCTTTTTATTAAGTGGCAACATTATTGCGTAAGAAAATTCGTCTTATTTCAGTGTTTACTGGCTAAATACTGCTAATTGAGACACTTCTAATATGTGGAACATATTCCTTGCATCACTTTTGAGGACAAGCTCATTAGTAAGCAGTATATAGTTATCAAAAGAAGATCTCTCCATCAAGCTGAAGACAGTATCTTCTAGTGATAAAGAGTACAGGCTCCTGAATCAGACCTCCTGGCTGTAATCCAAGTTTAGTTACTCAGTAGTAGCTTTGTGATTTTAGGCAAGTAATTTAACCTCCCAAACCTGTTTTTCCTTCTGTAAAAGGCAGATAGTAACACCTACTTTCTACTTCCTGGGTTGTTCTGAGTAAGGAGTGAGATAACCTGTGTATAGTCCTTAGCATCATGCTGGACACATAGTAACAGCCAGGTTTTATTGATTATTTACTGATTGTGTTGTTCAGCATGCTGGGAATGGAAATGTAGACTTAAACATATTGTTATATATGGTAAAGGTCACACGGGATGGAAGTTTATCTGTGTGAAGTGTTAGTTGACCAGACTCCGCTTCTTAAATATCTACAGAGAAACAAGTATATTTTCTCCGGGTTCAGAGTTTACTTTACCAATGTTTCAAGATTTGTGATTACATGGGAACATACATTAGGGCTTCAGGGGAAGAAGTCCATAGATTCTGTGAGAAGGCTTCCAATGGCAGAGACTCAACTCCAAACCACATACATTTTGATTTTTAAGGCCGAATGGTTATTAGGTCACACAACTCAGAGTCCAGGGTTTAAAAATCCAACAGCACCCAATCCAGGTGACCTCACAATGTCTTAGAAACCAGCCTCAGTGTATCACTTGGTTCTGCTTTGGCCTTATTCTCACGAAGGCTATGCCCATGTGGTGACAGAGGTGGCCATCAACGACTCTAGATCCTAGGAGCCTGGCAGACAGAGATTCTCTTTCTCAGAGGTTCCAGGATTGTGTCTTACTGGTTTAATTTAAGTCACCTACCTGGTTCTGAAGCAGCCACTGCGGGGCGCACGTACCCACGCCCGGGGGTGTCTGTGCACAGTGGGCATCAGTGCACAGTGGGCGTCCGTCCACCTGGAAGCATGGTCAGTGCCTAGTGGGCAGCTCAGTGCCTTTCTAGGGAAGACAAGAAGGAAGGGGAACTCTCATTTACGGGCCAAGGAGAGTCAAAGCAGTCATTTTACTATTTGCTTTCTTTCTTTTCAGAAGGGTTGTTTTTCGGTCTGAGCTTTTTGTTTTTGTTTTCCGTGAGGCTATTCATTTCTGGGGCAACGTAGACCCCAAGCTGCCGGCCCAGCCCTGTCAGATACCGGCAGCCCTTCCCAGGCGCTCGTGCAAACATTCGGTTCCCACCTGGAGGAACGGGTCAGGCTGTTCAACCCTGCGATAATCGGCGAACAGCCACCTGACCTGAAACACGTTTTTCCTTCTTGTAATTGAACACAATCTTCGCTGCGGTGCGGGGGACCTCCACGCTGTCTGTAAGGGTCCCGAGCACCGGAGGCGAACACGCGGGAAGGGAGCCGCCCCGGCCGTACTACTGTCCTTCGCACGGGGAGGTTTATTTTGAAGGAGACATTTAGCTGCGGTTACAGAGGTTGTAGTTTCATGAGTAGAAGGAATGCAGCTTGCCCCTCTGCACACTGCTGTTTTTTCCAGTGTTCAGCCTAAGGCCTGATTGCCTGTGGTTTGGAAAAGGCCGGAGCGTTTTTTATTTTGAGGTAGCTAGATCTGTAATAAACTTCCTCCATGTAGCTAAGGCTTTGTCCTCAAATTCCATGTTATGTTTCAATGAAAAAAAAATACACCAAAAAAACCGGGGTGATGCTGTTAACAAGAGCATTGCCAACTGTTCTTTCTGTCTGGTTCTGATCTTGCCCTGGGCCAGTGTCCTGCTAATTGTGGAAGTGATCACGGTGGTCGTCTGGGGACTGGGGGGACAGGCTTCTGGTGACATGGGGAGAATCCTGACAGCCAGCCTTGCTCAGGTGTCAGTCCATGGCCTCAATGAGATGGTGATTCCTCACTTTCCTGTATTTGCTTTACTTTTTTCTCATCAGCCTTTCGCAGTGGTTCTGGACCATTTCAGGGAACCTAAGTTTGGATCAACTAGATTTGCTCCTGAAAAGCAGAAGGGTGACTGACATGGGAAGTAAACATCAGAATTAGGAGGATGAACATGCAAGAAAGAGATCGAGAGGCAGAGGAAAACCCGTGGGTGGTTCACACGTCAAAGCCAAGCCCTTCCGTGGACTCCTCCTTAGAGAAGGGAGGAGCCTCCCTAAGCACGGGGCTCAGGCACACTGCGCTGGGTCCTTGGTGGGGTCCAAGGGGAATCGCGAGGAGTACAGAGCAGCCTGTAGAGCAGCAGCAGGGACCCAGCACGTGCCCGGGGTGAAGGCAGCCCCGTTGATCGGGGAGGTGCACAAGCAAGAAGAGAACCAGAAAGAATTTAGGATTTCCTGGCGGGAAAGGAGTCTTCCAGCCCAGGTGGTGGACTCATTCCTTCTCCCCCAGGGTTAGGCCCATGGAGGGGAGGGCTTCTGGCTTCTGAACTGGGCAACCAGAATGATGGGCTTGGAGTGCAGAGAAAACACGGACGATTGTGTTTTCTTGGGGAGCTGGCGTGGCTAGGGGAGCTTTATTCTTTTTTTTTATCCCATTTTGTTTTCTTTACTTATTTTTATTAACATAGAAAATATTCTCCGATAATTCAAAAATTAAAAATTCAAAAAGGTATATACAGCAAAACGTCTCCCCCCACGCATTCCTAGCCAGCAGTCTGAAACCAGTGGTACCAGTCTGTTGTCCGACCTTCCAGAGTTATTTTACACGTGGACAAGCAAATTCATCTGTTTATCTGTCTGCATCTGTCCATAAATACATACACTTTCCCCCATTAAAAACTCTTCCTGTTCATATTCATGTCTTCATGTTACTCCACTCTCTGCCTGTGCCTTAATTTATTTAAATATGTTTTTTTATTGATTTGAGAGAGAGAGAGAAACATCAATTCAAGTGAGAAACATTGATTGGCCACCTCCCGTACACACCTCAACCAGGGATCAAACCTGAAACCTGGGCGCGTGCCCTGACCGGGAATCATGCCGGTGACCCCCTGGTGCACAGAACGATGCTCAACCAACTAAGCCACACTGGCCAGGGTCCTAATTTATTTAATCAAGTCTCTTTTGATGGATATTTACGTTGTTGCTAAGTACTTGCTATTACAAGGGATGCTTGTACATGTGTGAGCATATTGAAGTGGAACTGATGAGTCCAGGGGTACATGCCCTTGAAGTTTTGAGTTATTTCCAAATCGCCCTGTGGACTTTGGAGGTGGTTTCTTCACCTGTGACGTAAAAGCGCGCCAGGACAGCAGTAAACCAAGGGTGAGGTAAGAGGGAGAAAAAGTAAAATTGTGAACAAGTTGAACAGGAAGAATGGGGTGGGAAAGACTCTGATTATGGGAGGTGCCTAGCAGTTGCACAGAGAAAAGAACCATAAAAAGAAATCTGATGGTTGGCAAAGCAGGAGTAAGTGAGCAGAGATTACAACACAGAACAGCAATTAGATCCTCATAAATGTCACCTGGTCTTCATGATGTGGGGCCCAAGAATGGAAGAAGCAGACCTGTTAAGAGGTAATGAGCCAGCCCTGTAGACGAAGAATTATAAAAGTAAGTTGAAG